TGTATTTACAAAGCATAAAATTACGATTTTAAAACGGTCAATTGCAAATCATTCGAAGTGGCATTGACCCTTTCTTTATTTAGCCGAAATTTCATTGAAGAAGATATGTATTTTTAAAACTGTACTTTTGTACTTGAATTTAATGCATGGTCGACTACTGATGCTTGATAAGGTTAATATGTATTTTCTACACGTTAAGCGATAGCGTACTACAATTTATACTCCGTCTTCGTACTTAAATGAGAAAAAGGAATAAAGTGTATTTCCCAAAGCGACTGTTGATTCTGTTCACTTTCCTACTTCACTTTCCTATTCAGAATGTTCGATTCAGTTGCTTTAAGAATGAAGATGTTGTCAGTAGATTTACGTTATATTTTTCAATTTTCTTTGCTATTTATGTCTTATTTATGTCTTTTTACACATGTTAAATGCATAGGTTAAAGTTAATAATTATCCACAATATTTTACTTTTGATCTATAAGTTTTACTTTATCACTTTTCAGATAAACTTTTGCATTCTTAAACACTATAAGTGGATGAATATTAATTTTTTCTTATTATTATGACTTTTACTTCTTTTACCAATATACTTGGTATACGTATTCAATGAATTGCTGGAATGAAAAGTAAATTATTCAAGGATTTTACATTCGTATGATTTTATCAAACTTACAAGAGTATGTGGAATGTATTGAATTGTAATTCACAATGTTCAAATTGGAATCATATATAACACCGGTGATCCTCAGTTATGTTGAAAAATATGTGAAAAATTTTAAACCAGAACAATCTCAGGTATGTATGTATGCATGTATATACATATCTGTGTATATATTATTATGTAATAATAAATCTATATTCCTTTTCATCATATACATGTATTATCTGATTTCATATTTCAGGTTTCTTTATGGGGTGGTGATGCATCATTTCAAAATCTTGATCTAAGGCTAGAAGTTTTGGAAGAGCAGCTGAATCTTCCCTTTGTTTTTGTTAGTGGTCATATACATGAATTACTTATTCATGTTCCTTGGGTAAAAATTACTTCAGAGCCAATTGTAATTACCATTAATACAATAGGTAAGTATTGGACAACATGATTCACACTTAATGTAAAATTAAACATGTAAAAGTATAATTTTAATCTTTATTTTAGAATGTATTTTAAAATTAAAAGATGATAATAAAGTAGAAACCAATCCTACCTCCTTACAGAGAAGGCAAGAGATATCCCAGTAAGCAACTGATTGCTGTTATTATTGCATTATGTTATAAATACATATTAAGCAAAATATTTATATAGCTTATTGCTATTTAATTTATATTTATAGGGAAGAAACTCCTCCTGGATACATAAAAAGCATAGTAACAAAAGTTGTAAATAACATAACAATTAATTGTAATAATTTAATTCTAAAGTACGTGGAAGAAGATATTGTTCTTAGTGTCAATGTCAGATTTTTAAGCATGCAAACTGTTGATAACAAATGGGAACCAGCATTTACTGGTATGTATCTCATATTGTGATCCTAAAGCTTTCTAACAATCTTTTAAGATTGTATATATAAAACTATATATATATACTTTTTTAGATGTTAATGCATATGAAGTTTTGCTTAGAAAAGTTATTACTATTCAAGATCTAACATTATGTTTAGATAAAATGGATGCATCTGGAAAAATAGAAATATACCAGGTATTAATGAAATATTTGTTATAATTGACTGTAAATTATTTTGTGATTAAAATACGAAAATATGCTATTTTGTCATTTAGGATCCTGTTCTATATCGATGTTCGGTTATAATACGTTTAATTATAAACTATCACAGTAATACTGCAAGGAAAGCTTCTATTACACGATTAGACCTTCATTGTCAAAAAATGGAATTCAGTATAACGGAACAACAAGTACCAATGTTGCTTAGATTAGCTGCCTTGATAATGGCTTTACAAACAAAGCAATTTCCAATTAGTAAAGAAAAATCATTAATTTCTGCAGAAGAAAGAGAAGATAGTATACAAGGTTCTGCTTCATTTTATTCCATGCAAAATGAAATTATATCGTATCATTTTGTCTTATAATATATCACATATATTATCTTATAATATTGTAGATGATACAGATCATGCGATTGGAACAGCTACAGACAGTACAGGATGGGGTGGATGGGCTTGGAACATGATGTCATCTCTGTTACCTATTGAATGGGATAATGACTGGTCTACAGAGCAGCAAATGGCTTATTCTGGACATACCATTCATTTAGGCATATATGTACAAGATGCAACTTTAACTTTTAAGGTAATATTTATTTAGAATAAATTAAGAGAGGAAATTAAATAATTGTTTTCCTTTTTTTTACATAGACAGTCGAAAATGTTAAGGAACAATTGTTTTATAAATCTCGCAAGCTTCGATATAAATCGTTTCTAACGTTGCGATTAAATGGTGTAGTAGTTGATACATTGCTTCAAGGAATTGCAATGACCAGTTTTCAAATTGGAATGGGCTACATACGCATATATCCAAGAGGAAGTTGTAGCTGTGGTCATCTTGAAGTAGTTGATGGAGCACAAGTAATATTTTACACTGTAACTTAAAGATAGAGACAAGATCATATAATAATCATATAATGAACATATAACGAACTATTTTGTTTAGCCACCTTTGTATTTAGTAGCTGGCAAGATTAATACTCGGTACTTAAAAGATTCATTATTTGATGATGAATCAGTGGAGAATAAAGGAAAAAAGCGGGAGTACAAGCAAGGGATATATTACTATTTATGCACAGCTTCAGGTAATGAACCTTTAAATTTATTCGTAATTTCGAATTTAGTATTAAATATTTACATAAAACGTATTTAGAGGAGAAACTAATAGAACGATGTCCCGCGTTCTCCATGGATTACGTTCATTGCGTCGAATTGCCAGACGATATAACACCTGAAAAACTGGCAGAGTTTGGATCTAATTTTGAATATAGGTAGTCAGGCACTAAATAATTCCTAGAAAAAAATTTAACACAAAGAGATAACTTTGTATATTTTTTTTTCCAGTAATTTCCGCGAACGTAGAGTAATGAGATATATTATAGGTGATTTAACTATTAGATTATGTTCCGGTGTTTTTCACCGTATCGAAACAATAAAACAAGCTGCCGCAAACTATGATTACAATCCATATCTCGTTACGAAACCAGGTATGCATGAATGATGATTTTCCAAATAATTTTCATTCAAACAATTATATAGCATCATTTATAAATTTCAGATCCACTTGTGGATGAACTCCCTCCAGTTACATTGGAAGAATACGAAGCACTAAGAGAAAATGTATCCATGGTTGAGACAAAATTAATAGTAGTTAAAGCATCGCTTCAATTGCAATTGGCGGATCATTCTATTACTGGACTTCCACGACAACGAAAAATAGTTGAAAGTCGAGTAAGTAGGAAATGCCCTAATATACGTAGACGTACAACAAATAACATTTATGTTACTATTATTTATTCTTTTCGTATTATCTTGCTAGACGACGCCTTTAACACCTGCTCTTACAGACGATCCTTTTATGAGCATTGAATGTGACGAAGCAATAGTAACTATGCTTCAACCTTTATACCCGTTTAGACTTGCAGCTTGTGCATCCAAACAAACCGATCTTCCAATTGAAATGTTTAATCAGTGCCATAAGATCATTACATTGCAGGTAATAGAAAAAGTCCAATGTATATACGTGATTATGTTTCTTTTTCTTTTTCTAATATATACTTAACTAGGTAAATGGAGCAAGAAGTCAACTTTATTTGACGAAAGATTGTCACACATCAATAATAATGCCTTACTCTGTTGAATGTAACATAAAAAAATTATTGTACCCACAATATTGGAAAAATGTCGATGTAATACATGAAACATACGCGGCGCATATTGACAGTGTTACAGTTACCGGAACAAAGGCGAAGTTAATGGCTGCTGTATCTATCTTGACATCAATTTTTGACTCTAATGATACAACGAATCCTCTTGTCTGTTCCTCATTATTTAGCGACGCTTGTCAAGAAATAAGTATGTGTTGACACTAATATTTAAACATATTGTGTCTATATATTATAAACATTTCAGATCCTGTATATCTGGAATTGTTACTGGAAAATATAAATTGCAAAAAGTTATCATCTTTGGTTACGATATCAAATGAATTAAATATAAGCTCGGTAAAAATGTTTGCTCTTAACGAGTCACAGCAAGCCTTTATATTCTCAGGGCCAGAAAGTAATATTTACGGGTTGGTACTCTTTTAAATAAATACTTTAGCTCTAAATAGATCCAGTGTGTTGATCATATCTTTTCTATTTTAGCGACGTAGAAAACAAATCACTAATAACGATTGTAATACAGTTTCCACAAAATATTGAAAGACAAACGCATCCACCTCTGATTTCGCTTCAGATGGCAGATATCAGGGCTTCGCTTGATCCGTTACTTTTCAAGTGGTTGGAATATCGTGTTACGTATTATAACCTGGGTACGTTGTGTATAACTCGACCCGAAGTCCAACAACTTGAAGGGGCGTCTTCAGATACTGGTACGAAGAAAAAGACATTCCCCAGTTTACACGAGAGTGTACACAGCTCGTCAGACAAGGAAAAACGAAAGTCCGTAATAGCTACGGAAAAATCGAAAACTTTACAAAATGATGAGATACGAAAGAAACATGATTCTAAGTCCGAAAATGAGAAACAGGTATATTTCTTAAAATTATTCTAGGTAAACAATAACGACGAGGTTTCAAGTAACTGTCAATAATATTAACATTTTTTTTAATTAATTATTTGCATAATTTTTTTATCAGTTATAAAAAATTAATCGGTGATAGAACTTACAGAATTTGGGAATATTGGCCAGATTAGCAGAACTGTATCCATGGTGGTGTGGTCTTGTATTAAGTGGATGTGTTGGACATATTGTTATTTACATACCATCGATCACAATGAGTGGTATTGGTGCATATGGTAGGAACGCATGCAACTTTCACAATCTTATATATTAATAGTTCCTTGTTATACTGATTTTCATTAATCAATTTAGGTATCGAGGAAGCCAAGGACAGAGCATTAAAAAACGATAATAAATTACAAATACTGATAATAAAATTACCTTCTCTTCTTATTCACTCGTCTAATACAAGTTTCGAATTACTTTCACCGTATCTTCAGGAATTACCTGTTAAATTACCGAAATCAGTATGGACGAATAGTAAGTAGTAAGAAATATACTGGAAAACATAATTTTCATAGTGGTTTATTACAGAATTGCAAAGTTTCCCATGGACATTGAGCCTTGTTGACTTCCATTGTTATATGTTACAAGAGCATACACAGAAGAACTTTATTAAAAAAGTATCGATAAATGCTACAGTTGCTCTTACAACTAAGGTCGTAACATCCCCGTCTGGAGGAAGTACATTAGCTGCTTTAGGTGTTTGTGTTCATATTGATAATTCTCCAATTATTGTTTCGATTTCTGAAGAACAGGTATTGCAATAAAATTACTTTGCTCGATATTCGAAAGATATAAAAATATCGATAAATAGTTATATAACCATATAAATTTCGTATTTATTACAGGTAGTTTTCACGAGTAAAATAATCTCAAATATTTTAAACGTACTGCGAGTTGCTGCCAATAATAACAAAAGTATTATAGCTAGTACTCAAATAAGTACTGAAGCACAAGTAGTTCTTCCTATTATACCACAGACTCCATCTACACCAACACAATTATTATATCCCGAAGATACAACTACAAATTCGACCCTTTCAACATCAAAAGATGATAGTACACCGGGTACGTTATAATTAAGCTTTTATTTTTCCCATTAATGTATAATACGATACAATGTATTTTATAGACTCAGAAGAACTAGTTTTGACAGCATGGATTCAGTGGACCATAACGAAAATTGCGATTAAATTGTACGTGACAGAGAAAGAGACTTTATCTTCATTAAAATTGATACTTGAACTGGAAGATATCATTACCTCTTTAGATTTACAACCTGTTTATTTCAAGCTAAAAAATAAAGTTACAACGGCCACTATATTTCATTATACAAGGTATATCATGACATGAATATAATTTATGTAATTTTAATGTAACAGGTACTAAAAGATGTATTTTAACAGAGCACCGAATTCACCTACTTGGGATATCGGTGAATACGTGGGTGCGGTTCTTTGTGGAAGAGAGGACAATTTAGAGAAAGGTGATGATTCTGGCTTTTTAAGTTTCACCCTTACTAGAGCAAAATCAGGAAACGTTCACACACGATGGGGCACCTACAAACGACACAAAAGTCAAAAGGTAGTTAATATTTAAAAATAATTAAATAATAACCTGGTAATATTCCATATTCTTCTTTGAAGTTTCAGAAAGACGTAATAACAGAAACAACATTATCTGCTAGTAGTTATATATCTGAGATAGTTATAAAAATACAAATGGTGGATATAATCTTACCTCTTACTATAGTTAGTAAATATATGGAATTGGCAAAACCTTTTATGGGTCTCTATCAACCTATTGACAAAGATACAATCGAAATTTCCGAACAAAGTATAACCACATGCTTAAGTAGCATTACCAGTCTTGATAATGAAATGTTACCATTAATATACCTGGACTTTAAGGGACTTAGATTAATGCTACCAGTTTCAAATATAACGAAATTAAAACCGCAGCATGATCTACTAATGATTCAATTAGATGGAGTCCGTATCACACCCCATGCAGAAAATCCAATTTGTAGAACCCCTTTGAGATTAGACATATATCAACTCGCAGCTCAAGCAAATATTTTAAGTATACCTGGTTCTGCTGTGGAAGATCGACAATATCAGATTAATATAAAGAATATATGTGCCCACACAACCACCTGGAAGAATTATCAAATGACTATAAATAAGAAAATGTCTCAATCATATTTATATACTATGAACGAAAATCCTGCATTAGAATGGAATAAACTTGGACATGGAAGTAGTTTAGAGCGACAATTCTCCACGCTTCCTCTTTTGTCAAAATTCGATTTGTGCTTGATCATTGCTCCGCCTGTTTTATTTAAGCCAGATGTCACGGTATGTGGAAGTGCAGTTGAAGTGAACTGTATCACAGATATCGAAGTAACAATAAATTTGGACCAGATTCAGTTGATTTCTATATTAAATAACGAACTAAAGAACTTATTCTTTGGAAATTTCGAACGAGACAAAAGTACAAATACATACATTAGCACATCACAGAGGCCTCTTTCAACTGTGGGGAATATTAAACAAATTACCTGGACAAAACAATCTTCTGATGACATATCGCCAGATGTCGATGCCACCAAGGACAGCGGCATAGATTTTGAAACGTCTAGCATAAATTCAACAATTATTGGCAGGCCTATCTCTGCGGATACTTCGATACTTTTACCATTCGAATTTCTAGTGAACTGTGGAAAAATAACTTTTGTACTTTATGATATTCATCCAGCAGTTACAGAGTATGAAGTTGACATAAATGAAGTTGAAGAGGATGAGGGTGAGAGTCAAAAACAACCCCTCCTTTACACGATGGTCAATCAGCCAAATATTTATTTTTCGCAACAGCATCCATTACAAAAAGTACAAGTATCTTGTTTCGATATAACAATGGCACTTGGTGATAAAGATAATCCGGAATTAATTTCAATACCAAGAGAAAAGGATTTCAAAGTTTTTATGATTGAAACAAAAAACGGAGACTTACATCCGGACACAGGCATTCCCCCATCCTTCATAACAATGAAATATGAAAAAACTATAGGAAAGAATCCACAGTTTCTTATAGACGTTGGTAGACCCACAAAAATTTATTTCTCTTTATCGAGGCTGAATCAAATATATATTATAAGAAATAAGATATTATCATGCTTTATAAAACAACATGAAACAATGTCAGAACAAGGTGATAACGTGAAAAAATCTTCAACAATGAAATCGAAAAAGATAAATTGGCCTGACATGAATATATGTACAAAACAAATTGTAGTATCCTTGAAGACTGATTCTGGAGCCGAAATAATAGCCAGTTTAGCTTCTTTATCCGGAAATATTTCATCTCTTCTTAGACCTGATAGAATATATTCTAACACGTCTGTAGACTCTTTTATCATATCGGCGATTCTTAATGGAAATATAAAAGTGCTCTTGAACCCATGGTGCTGCAACATTACCATATGCTTGCTTTGGGAGACCTGGTTGAATGTCGAGTCTATTCCTCAAATACAAGTACAGGCAGACAGTGACAGTCTTTATTTGGATTTCGGACCAGAACAGATGAAAATTATAAAAAATGTTATGGAAGATGTCCAACTGCTATTGAATGAATTGACAAGATCGTCTTCAAGGTGCAAAACTAACGAGAAGCAAATTGTTCTGTCAACTGAGCAACATTATAAGGACGATCTCAAAGCAGGTGCATTCCAATTTGTAAATGGAAATGCAGATGAACTACCTTTTCCGTATCAAGTAAATTTCATCTACTTCACCAATAGAAACTTTAAGAAATAATTCAATATTTTAACTTGTTGTTTAATTCATCAGGTTATTTTCTTCACTTGTCCCCAACAATCAATGGCTTGGAGATATCCTCAACCAAGAACATTAACTAAGATACACGTATCCCCAGTACCATTTGAAGTAAGTGAAAGAAAGAAATAATATTTTAAGATTTGGCCTAATCTTATAACAATCTTTTTACATTTTTAGACACTGGATTCTGACAGTGGATACATTGACAAAGTACTGTGCGCTCTTGAATATTGGAGCGACTGTCACATGTCCTATCAGCGATACGCTGACTTCTATTTATCAGAAACAGATTCCTATCGTTTGGAGCTTCCTGAGAAGGCGCCAGCAAGGGCAGTGGCTTGCATATGGCGCGTAGTTCTGCTATCAAACAACAATCGACCTTTCTCTAAAACCATAATCTCGGCCCGTGTTCTAGCCGCCTGTTTGCGCATCGATTCTTACTTCAATTCCTCGATTATACCAAACATACAGGCGGCGCTCAATATTGGCACTATACACTTGTCAATGTACAATCATGTTAGTACTGTTACGTATAACAATTTACAGCCTCCATTGAAGAATTACGCTTTAAAGGGCACGGTGCCTGAAACTCAATGTTTCATGACCCTGGAACATAAAGGAGCCATACTTGTACTTAATAGATGGATTAACGGTTCAATGTTGATTGACATTAGCGGGACATTTGGAGTGCACATACTGGATTACAGTCATTTAACGATGCAGGAAATATTAGATCCCCTAGAGGCGAGGCTTCAATTGTCGTTGTCCGACAAAACTGACATATCTTTCACGTGCAGTCCATTTGCGTTGAAGTTGAGCCCGACGATAGCTCATACGCTTGCAGTTTCGATACACCTGTGGTATTCGTCCTTGGAAGAAGAAAGTAAAGCCACAATTTTATTCGCACGCTACGTGGTGGCTAACGACAGCAATGTGCCTATACTTTTTGGCCAGAGTGGTACAGGGGACAATATATTGTTGGAAAGTAGGCAGTGCATCTTTTATTCCTGGAGAAACGTCGGCAACAAAATGTTACGGATAGCGATAGAGGAAAATATTTGGCTGTGGAGCAAACCATTTCCCGTCGGCGCTGATGGAATCCAAGCCGTCGAGTTCAGCAATTCTGTCGCAAAAGCGTCAGCATTTGTAAGCGTCACGTCGCTCTCTGCTACGCAGAAGCTTGTAACATTCTCCGGCCAGCTTGTGATTTCAAATCAATTGATCGACAATTTCGAAATGAAGTTGGTTAAATACGAAGCTGATGTGGGATCGAAGGTGACCGTGCTGAAAGATATATATCCTGTCTCTGGCAAAACTCGGCCGCCCTCGGTTATACTTGATGGTAACAGAAAGATGGCCATACGTCTGCGATTTACCAATGTTCCAAATTTATCTTGGACGGGGGACATTCCACTTCAGCCTAATGCGAAATGGGGCCAACCGTGGCTCGTTAAAGTCCCACTGCAAGAACGTGGACAATTTCTCAGCATCTGGGTACGAATAATAACGCAAACAATACAGGACAAAGTAAAAGTTCTGGCTGTGCTCAGTCCACTTTACATGATCCGCTCGCATTTACCAGTGCCAGCCAGAGTACAAATGGATACACCCTCGTTGAAAATATCCTTGAGCACGATGGTGAACGGTCGTGGTGAAGGACAGCAACTTTATTGCCCCGGAACGTTCGAGCATTTCCATCAGCTGACGTTCCAACTTGAGACCGGGGTTTCTACGTCCAATCCGTACGTGCCATTGTCATACAGCTCTGTGGATCAGAGGAAGTTCTTTAGAAGGCCGGAAGTCGAAGACATTGATAGCATCCTGCAGGATCTCGAGACTGGGAAAGATGAAACGGAATGGCCGTTCCAAGGGGACGAGGTTGAAGAGTGGATATCCGCTGAACAGCCGCAGACACACGTACAAGTGAAATACCAAGATGCTGGATTAGTTTCCAGCACTCTGCTGCTAGAGTTGCAACCTTGGTGCTTCATATTGAACTCTATGGGCTGCCACTTGTCTCTCGTGTCAGAGGACATTGAACTCTGCCAGATACCTCACTACGGAATCGTAACGCCGCCAAAACTGGAAGGTACATTTCACTTGTGCGTAGGTGTCGGTGACACGTTCTACACGTCCCAAGCGTTGCAGCTAGCCCGGCCTGATTGGAGCCAAAGCTTCTACATGCCACGAATCGGTGGCCTCATCCCTGTTGAGGGGAACATCAAGTCGTGCGTCGACTGTGGTTCAAGCGTTTCAATCATGAGTATCAATTCAAGTATGCACGAGGATATGCGTCTTGTGCGTGTGATGAGTAGCCATGTTATTAGTAACTTAACGTCTCAGGAGTTGTGCGTAGCAACATTGGCTGTGCATGAGGATGCAACCAGACTCGAACTGCCTAATGACCTTACTCCTTACAGCCTTAATATCTCGCCATCCGAAGACCAAAAGCAAGGCATTCCGATTACACAATGGTACACATTATATATGGAAGATATCATAGAGCCACTTGTGCTCTATGTATCATTGAGCATAGGCCACAAATGGTCGTGTCCGATTCGAGTTGACCAGGGTATGAGCCGTAAATGCGTCGCTGTTCCAAATGGTTCTAACACTATGCCAGTAGTCATCACAATGCAGGAAGACAAGGGTACCATGTACATAATGATTCATATGGATCATCACCCTCAGTTGTTGATTGAGAACACCTGCGCTTTCAAAGTTTTATTAGGCCAAGCTAACGAAACGACAGAGGCAATAATACCAGACGCCTCGCATTTTACATGGATTTGTGAAATAGAAAGTAACGCAACGAGTCATTATTCCATTCCAGCTGTGAGCAACAGGCTACCTGATGCACCGCTTGCTAACACATCAAACATACTGCTGTTCTCTGCTGTGACAAGCAGTCACAGCGAATCACAGGCCATCAGAGGTAAGGAATTGCGATGGTCGAGAGGTATAAATTTATTCGCCATATCAAGCACACCAGTGGATCAGTATGTACGGCTACCATCTTATGGCGATGTGAAGTTAATCATGCAGAATCGTTGTTACACCACCTACATCAGTGTCGTTCCGATATCTCAAGTAGAAGTATCCGCAAGGGACATCCGGACTCGACTTCTGCAAAAAGAGAACGAGACGAAGGATTTGGTAACGATGCGTGATAAGTTCACCTCTGATCCGGACGATCAACCAATTATAAATCTACAAAGCTCTGAAAGCTCGACGTCGGTGACAACCTTCTTCTCCGCTCAGGACGAAACTCTAACTACAGAAACTAAAACTGCTTCGCAGCTGAATTTAAAGCAGATAATAACAGATATGGAAAATGTAAAGGCCAATGCAAATGACGATACAAAGGAGGAGGAGAATAATTCCAAAGAAGGATCTGCGACCATTTGCCTTCAAGGGATCACCATCATCATTATGCATGATATGAATGAAAATGCTCAAAGAATCGAAGTGGCCAGCTTATCCATGACTGATGTTATAATCGCCATTAATGCAAGATCCAGAATTGTAAATTTACGTGCTTTCATAGGAGATCTACAATTAGATAACCAACTATTTGATCAAGGTGGCTTTGATTTTCCAGTAGTACTGATCAGCCAAAGTCCACTTACAATGAAGGAAACAGCATTTTATACGAGCAGTTGTTTAATAAATAAAATAGAACAAATAAGAGAAAATTCATTAATTGCGATTGATTATATGTTAGAAAATCAAGGACAATTAAGAGGTATTTAATTATTTAATCTTTAAATGCATTTAATAAGCTTCTCTATACATATTAATTTCTTCATAACGTTTTCAGCATCAAAAGACCTACATATGAAAATTGCACCAATTAGTGCCTATATTGAAGATACATACATAACTCAATTACTAAATTACGCAACTTCAATGGTACCACCTCGATTTCTGATACCAGACGATGTGAAAAAGACAAGAACGTTAGTTTCAACTATCGGAGTGTACATTCCTGATTATATAGTGATTGACGCGAGAATATTAAGCGCCCCATTAAGATTACAAAATTTAAAGATAGACCCTGTCTCTATCTTGTTAAGTGTTCATACCTCTGTACGTTTATATGTGGCTTTAGATCACTCTCCTTTATATTTTGGCACTTTTGAGAAGAAGAACATTTTAACTACACCTTATAGACTTGGCAATGCTCTTACAATGCATTACTTGTCTGGTGCTATATTTGGAGCAGGTATAAAGATTATACCATTCAAATTCTTTAATATTATACTTCTACTAATTATTTAAATATAATTTAATATTACATTAAAAAATTCGCATCTTAGGTTGGGTGGTAGGATCGTTAGAAATATTAGGTTCTCCTGGTAGCTTAGCACAAGCTCTTGGTTCAGGTCTTCGAGATTTTATTTCTCTTCCGTTTCAAGGCTTGTTACAAGGACCGTGGGGTTTCATCGTTGGTATAACACATGGTTCTGCTAGTTTAATGAGACATGTCACAGCAGGTATTAACATATGCAAGCATCCGCAATTAACTATCAAATTGTTCTATATTTATAACTTTATAATTTTATATACAGGTACGTTGAACTCTGTAACAAAACTCGCATCAAGTGTAGCTCGAAATTTAGATCGTCTGACACTTGATGAGGAACATCTTCAACGGCAAGAAGAATCCAGGAGAATGCGCCCTCAAGGAATGGCACAGGGACTATACCAAGGCTTAACAGGGCTTGGAATGAGTCTTCTTGGTATATAAATACATATTTTTAATTCATTCATTTAAATTGCTTCTACAATCTATTTATTTTTCAGCCGCAGTTGCGGGTTTGGCTCATCATCCTTTGCAACAAGTTTGGTCAGGGGAAATAACAACCAAAAGTCTCGTGACTGGCGTTGGACTTGGACTTGTTGGAGTAGTGACTAAACCTCTAAGTGGAGCTGCTGAACTAGTTGCGTTGACAGGACAGGGATTACTTCAAGGAGCCGGCTGGAATTCTTTGCCTTCGGTAGATAATTATTACAGAATTTATTTCAAATATCGAAATACTGAAATTAGTTGGTAACAAGCTTATCTTTACAGCCTCGACAACGACCAGTGGTTCAATACACTACCGGAAATAATAATGCAACGATTAGATATGCTTGGTGGTTGTTACCTTTACTTGAAAACAATCATGGGAATATTTTGCATGTTACTAATGCAGATTACGTGATCCAGCAAGGCAGTAGTCGTGCTATAACATTAGTTCTGACACGACATGCATTGTTGCTAGTTAATGCAACTGAAGATAACGTAGAACGGATATATTTACTGAAAGATTTAACAAACGCCGATCACCATTTGGAATCAACAATATGTTTGTACTGCTCCCCTGAGACAACACAAACTAATAGATCTATATCTCCAGCACCGTACGAAGTACGATATCATGTATTTCATCATTTTTCTGTTACATAATACTTGGACGCAATACAGTATTTATATCGAAAATTTCTTTTATAGATGGATCGAGAAATGCGAGCACGAGTAGCAGAATATGTACGAACTAGCAGTACTGGTTTAGCTAGTGTTTCTACAAATAGTGATGTACAGTCCGATATATTTGAGAACACCACTCCAAATTCTGATCGTACGCTTACATTTTACGTTTCTCCAGATTCACGCAACTATTTATTATCGTTGTTTAACATCGCTAAACGGCAAAGTCAAGGTAGCGGATTTACAGTGTTATAATGAATAAAAATAGAACTAGAATTATTTTCTTCATTCAGAAGATGAGATTTATAAAAAATGAAAAGTGATAAAATAGTATTATACCATTTAAAAATTATTCGAGAAATGCGAGACAAAACCGAATTATGCGATACCCATATGTACATATTTATAGTAACATTTTTAATTTTATTCCGGGTAATGGATTTAAATTTATGAACATTTTATTTCGTAAAAATAATGTGCTGTAATGTGTTGCACAGAGGAAAAATATGCACAAGAAGACATTCTTACAAAGGAAATGCTTTTTTTAATTTTATATGAAAATTTGTACTATTAAAAATTCTCTACAAACTTTATTTATTAAAGAATGTAATGTACATATCGTAGAAAAATCACAAAACTATGTATACAAATTTAAGTACAATGGATTCTTCATTCTCACATATACATATTCTGCTGTGCAAGTTTTTCACATATTCATTACAAATAACATAAATAAAATTTATATGACAATTTGATAAATTTTTTGCAACTAAAACATTACTCGTCATTATTCATATTATTAATATTTAATATGTACAACTTAAAGTTCACAGGATACGATAAAATGTAAAAAAATTTTATATATTTATTAAAAAAAATCATATTTTATTTACAATGTCACGTTGGTCGTCCAATTAATAATCCACCAACATAAATGATATAAAGAAATAAGATAATTTATTCATAAATACGTTCTATTTCGTTATTCTTATAAGGTGTACCACAAGATGTACATTCATTATTTTTCACTGATGTTAAGACTTTTCTACATAAGATATCCTTACATGGGAGCTGATAAAAAATGCCATTAGAGCAACAAGAACAAGTTAATTTCAATTTTGACTCATTCTGTCTTTGAATGTTATTAAAACGTTTTAAATTGGGTACTGCTATATTAATGTCAAAATCTGTTTCACTATTAACAGTTAAGTCCAGTATATCAGTACAATTATTTTTTTGCTCTCCATCTAGATTTTTAGACAAATGTGTGGTAGAAGTATAAGAATTGGCAGTTATTTTTTTCTTTGCTGGTTTAATTAAAGCAGCAGTTCGTTTTTGAGACATTATAACAACCGGCAATTTATGACAAAGTTTCTTTTCTGCTTTTACAGAACTTACTACAGAACAATGAAACTTTGATTTAATGTTGTTTGAAGTTTTAATTATATTTCTTTTTAACAAATAATTAGGAACTTCTGCTACCTTTTTATTAGATAGATCACCATCAGCAGACAATTTACGGCCCAACACTCTTGGTAATTTTTTAATTGTCTCGTCATTGCTATTTTCAAGCAAAAATTTGTCTATTCTTATTTTTAAAGCATTTGCTATAACTGGTTTACGATTTTCACTAAATGGCAAACCAGTAAAAGGATCAGTCAATGTTCTTCCCCATATTGCTTCAGTTTCTTCATGTTTCAGTAACGTACTTTGATCGATTATTTTTCCACTTGGCAAAAGAATTGGTTGAGTCATGATTTCATAAGTAATAGCATCTAAGAAACATTCTGGAACTTGCAGATTTGATTCTAATGTTTCTCTAAAGTAAATACATGTACAGAGTTAATAAATAATATATTATATATTAGTATTTATACTAAGAAATAATTTTAATTAATTTCATAATTCCATTTACTTATTATCTGTAGTATTAACAGATGAACTGGTGCTTTCACATTTCTCCACAGATTCAGTTGAGCAAGATTGTTCTTTAAACCACAAAGTAGAAATAGTAGCTACAGTATCTTTTCTACAACGTGGTGATACGCTTCCCCATACTTCAATCTTACCTAATGCAGGCACTGAATTTTTCGTTTTACATATACAAATTCTTAAACTATTTGTGTATGTTGTTAAGTACCGCAGAGAAGATTTTATAAAACATTTTAAAAAATTACTTGGAGTAGAAATTGTTTCATGATTAATACTTGATGGACAGAATAATAAACCAGCGTCTGTGGAGTTTAAAAATCCACTACCTAATAAACTATAAGGTAGATTGGCATTGTTGCTAGTCTTGGCGTACAATTGAAAGCCTGATGATTTTTGAGAACCAACTTGTGGCCAAATTAGAATATGGTTGATGCACACGTTGCATAAAAAAGTAATGTCAATATTTATGGGAGGCTTGATACAAGCATATGCCAAAAATCCTTTGTCAGAATCATTTATTAAATTAGTAATTTCATATCCTTCTGTATTAACAGCACTACATTGAATTTCTGGCTTTAAACGAGGATCACAGAAGTTGAAAAGCATTTTCTTTACTCTAAACACGCATGAAACAACATGCTTCGAAGGAATTTTTAATTTTCCACTAATCGTGTAAATCTAATCTTTCCTTCGAAAATAACTTAACCTTAACTACTGTCACAGTAAGGTTAGTAAGCGTCGAAACACGTCGAATGCGTAATGTGGACAAGCACGTGCACAAAAGAATTTGCAAATAATCAAATAATATCATAATCAAAATGGAACAAATTGTAATAAAACAAGAGGTTGACGACAGTGTGAAAGATGTAGAGACTGGCGATAATACAGAAATTAAATTTGAAGAAAAGTTGAAATTCACAAGTCCCATAGCTAAACCTATAGCTCCAAAAAAATTAACCAAAAAAATTTATAAATGCATCAAAAAAGGTATGTGTATAATTGTATGTATATATGTACAATTATGAATGAATTGAGTATGTATAATTTCTTGAACATGAATATTTATAATTTGTAACATAATCACATTTCAGCTGCAAAACATAAATCTTACCTCCGAAATGGTTTGAAGGATGTACAGAAGCACCTTCGCAAAGGGGAAAAAGGGTAAAATAAATTTTTTGTTTATAACTGCAATTGCATATTTGTACTCCAATAGTCAAATTAATCAATAATCAAGAAGCTATTTGTGTAAAAGTATTTGTATATTATTGTCAGATTGGTTGTTTTTGCTGGAGATGTATTTCCAATAGAAATCATGTGCCATTTACCAATTGTATGTGAAGACAAGGACATTCCATATTGCTTCACACCTTCGAAACAAGATATCGGTGCTGCTATGGGTGTTAAAAGAGGCAGTCTTATGGTACTTATTAAGGAGCATGAAGAATACAAAGAGCTTTATGAGGAAATTAAGAATACAATGATAACATTATCAGTGCCATTATAGGTGTGCATTCAATCATTTGTATCTTTTTCAATTTTGTAAAGGTAGAATGTATTTTACAATTTTGTAAAAAATAGAATAAATCAATTTATTCTTTAAGGAAAGAAAAATATATCAGATATTATACATTTTTTAATTATAGAATAAAGTGTAATGAATTTAAAACAAAAAGGAAGAAAAATAGAAATTTTTTTAATTTAATCCAACAGCTCTTAATTTAGAGACTTTTTATCCCGTTTTCAATAAAACAAAAGGGTATGTAATTGTATTTGGAGCATAATTTTTAAAAAATACTAATTTTAGTTAAAAATTAAATTTATTTATCGCCTGTGCATTCTTGAAAATAGAATATTAAAATTTAGCTTAAGATAAAAATCATATTTCTCGAAGCGGTATGCATATATATATATATATATATATATATATATATATAT